GAAACGACACGGCTGTTTCCTGGCCACGGTATTGCGATGCACTCGGATCGTTGCGCGATTTTGGTGCCTCTATTAATTGCCTACAATGATAAGTAGACAGCGGGCTTTTTTCTTTTTTAATGCGAAGGAAAAATTGTCGGCGCTAATTGCAAGCTCCGGGAGCTACGTGCGCGTTTATTTCCCTTCGTGATCGTTTAAACCAGCGAAAAGCATTTTTAAATACTTCGACTGTATTTAACAGCTTGCATTCGGTCTGCTCATTTTTGCTAACGTATCCGCTTAACTTTTTTTTTTTTAGTGGTTTGTTGGAAATAGAGAGAGAGAGAGAGAGAGAGAGAGAGACGATCAGTGTGCTACAATCTATTTAAATAAAATCCCGTGGGAAGTATAATACGGTCAGAATAATTATCGAATCAAATAGAGAGATATAACTTGACGAAGATGAAAGAGACTCGTGAACGGGTTAATCTAAGTAATAAAAATATTGCCATTTTGAATAACACAAAAGTTACGCGTTAGTTAAAAATTGCACTGCATTGTCGACCGTGAACAGGTTCTGCGAGCTTGCCAAATAAAATACTCCGATCCCGAGGATTAACAAAAAAGTCTCTTGCCTATTCTCTCGCGAGAAACGAAATAAATTAAGACACAATGGAAAACGTTCTCGCTGCATTTTCTATAATCATCAGAAAAGTCGATTTTGAATGACGAAATTTTGCGGTCTTCCACTTCGAAAAACATTTGTACGATGAGTCGAGGAAGACTACTTTAGCGATTAAAGTCGCCTAAGTCTGCACAGGCGGCAGCGGAAGATTATTCCGAAGGAAAAGTCCGTTTCCAGACCGGTTCATCCATTTTCCGGGGAAACAAAAGCCGGATCAGAAATACGTGGACGCGTGTAGGCGACCACTAACGGCCCACGCGGAAAGTATCAGGCTTTTCGCACCCGTAGAAATTTTGTATTCGAATTTCTCGCGGTCAGAGCCATGGGGATGAATTTTAATCTGCGTTATATAGAAGCGAGATTGAATACGTTCGCCCGTGGCAAACGTACTGGGAAATTATTTTTTCCGAAATTCATTCCGCAGAATGATTCCGCTCTCTCTCTCTCTCTTTCTCTATCTATCTCTCTCTCTCTCACTTTCTCACTTTACAAGCCCTCGAGCACGGCTCTTTGATTTCTTTAGACGCAGGAGAGCAAACATCGGTCAAACATCCTGACCTCTGTGCGCGTGCTCGTTGCATTTCATCCCGAAACGCGACCATCGTACAATCCGGTCATCCTCGTGCGAATTTAGGCGAGAGACACGTTTGATCTGAACGCGGCCGTGTTTAGGTACCAAATTCCGCCCGGGTAGCTCGCCTTTTCTGTTCCTTATTTCTCTCGTTCGGAAAATTAGTCACTTGTTGCCAACGGAACAATCGGAATAATTTGTAGAAAGACGAGGGTTTTCGTTTCTAAAAGCTGACGCAATTTCGGGACTGATCGTAGTAAAGATCAACAAATAATCAGGCGGCTACTGCAAACCTTGCACTACACCGCTGTTATGCGAACAAAATGTTCAGTCGCTTCGAAACACCGACGAAAATCATTCTCGTCGGCTTCCACGTAACCGATCGCGACTAGAAGAAGACATAATGTTCTCAAAATTGCCACAGGCGAGTAAAAAAAAACTGGTAAAAAATAACTGGTGGATAAACGAGGTATAATCCTTCTAAAGCGACACTGTAAAATTTCAATCGATTGTCACGGCTCGTTCAGAAACTATGGTCGCACGTATGCCCACCTGCAGTCAGCTGTGAAACAAATCGAGAGCTCGACTAAGAGCGATCCGATCGTAAGAAACAACTGAAACCGATCAACTAATTAACACAATAGGTTATCAGTATATAACCGATGTCCTCTTTTTTTTCGTAAACTTGTGTCTCCACGAGTTTCGAAATTACAGCCATTTCGGCGGACAAATCGCGTTTCGTGGCATTTTTGGGTAGACAGGGATGATCGATGCATTCCGCAGCATCGTGGCCGAGATAATCGATTAGGTGCGGATGCGCACGGTGCAAGGTAGGGAGTCGACGGGTTCCGGGATGATCGGTTTCAAGCGCGTGCCTTGGCATCGCGTTGAATTATAAAGGGTCCGATCGCGAGTTGGCGCCACGCCGCGCAAACATCGCGTAATGCCGCGTAATAATTGAAACCGCGTGGGCGGCGTGTAAGCCGGTACATTCGACGCGGCGACATCAAACAGCTGGCGCGTGCGATGTTGAACGCGACGCGCGATCGAATTCCGTGTTGAAGCCCGAGCTGGGCCCGGACCCGGGCGCAGGTCTCCTCGTTCGACTTCTCGCGACTCGAACACGCTCGGAGCGACCAGCCGCGAAAACTGCCGCGCGTTTCGCGTGTTTCTTCTTCTCCTCTCCCCCCCTCCCCTCCCCTCCCCCATCGTCCGACTCGAGAAAACTCCTACGGTATTTATTAGTAATGTTTTATTAGTATCTTTTTATTTTTTCTTTGGTATTTATTACTATTACGTATCGTGTAAATTCGCGCGCCCGCCACTTAGAATCTGGAAACTCGAGATTAAACGTTACACGATTAACGGTGTGTCGATTCTACTGTGCCTATTTAATAGGAAACATTGCTCGACTGGCTCGCGCGATTCACGTTTTCGTCCGACGCTTCCGGTGGACGCGCTTTGCCGTTTCTACACGGCGATTGCATTGTTGCGCTGGGCCAATCGCGACACTTCGATCAACCGGCTTCGTTGCTTTCGGTCACAGACGATTCATAGTGGAAACACAGAATTTAAGGTTATTAATTTAAGGTAATTAATGCGTGGATCCTTGTTCGATAAAGCTCCTAGCTTCTGAGGTTTCAAGGTTAGGCACATTTTTCTTAATCGGCATCCACCGAACATTTCGCCGATTATTCTTCATTGGATTCTCTAATTGACCTGGTTGCAATGATTTCTTTTTGTAATTTGAGGATTTTCTGGCGATTCTGGATTTACTGTATTTTATAATGTAAGAAAGCATACTGTCCGAGTCCGTTTGCTAATAATTTTCTAGTGAAAATGATACTTTTTGGAATATAATATCAACGCATGGAATAAAATGCTATTTTTAAAAAGATCTATCCAGGTTCGTTGGACAAAATTGATACGATTTCTGAGAACATAATATCAATGCATCCAATAAAACACTATTGCTACAGGGATCCATCCAGCTTAGCTCAATAAAATTGATACTCTTTGAGGACATATCATTAACCCTCGCAATACGGTGTCAATTTTGACCAAGAGTATTTAAACCGTTCACTGAATTACTCGATTTTCGGCGATCGAATCGAATAAATTGTTCCTGCATTAGGAACAACAGAGATGCTAACAAATCTGCACGAAATATCTTGAAAAATATATTCCGAAAAATTCCCGAATAAAGCTTAGAATTGTTCTCAACATCGTCATTAGCACAGTTATGAAAATGATGCATCCTCCAAGCATTAATCCTTCCAAAGCGACATTTGTCAAAAAAATCTCATCAATTGAAACCACAATTTTCAAGCCGCCTGCACGTGACGATCAGCGAAACGAGTAGAAAACGAGCACGAGGTTCGACAATGCTTACGCGCGCGGAATTCTTTTCTGCATACGACCGCGTTGTTCTGTGCTCGAAAGCAACGGAGGCGCGGCCTCGGGTGACCCAGGCGACGGCGTACCTGTGCGCACGATCCGACCCGAAAGTTTTTCTGCTCGGAATCCACAGGACTCCTGGGTCCTCGATTTATTCTTTCCCACGACGTTCTCATCCCGATCCCACGGAGAGTTCTCCCGGCGACGGAAACTTGCCGTCTCGGGCATCGCGACCGAAACTTCCGGCGGCCCCCGTTGTTCTTTCCGGCGAATCCACCGGAAACGAGATTTCCCGCCCCGAGCGCCGCTAGACCCGCGAACGAAAACTTCCTCCTACCGATCTCCGCTTCCTCTTACACACACACACACGCACACGCGCGCACACACGCACGCGAACACATGCACACGGAAACACCCGGCCACGCACACGTACACGCACGCACGCACGTTTGCTATACATATCTACAATCACGTACATCGATAATAATGGATTGTCGCGACGTTTAATATACAATCGGACCGTGCGCCGTCTGTCCAAGGAACTCTGCCGAAGGAAGAATGCCGCGAGGCGATTCTTCGGCTTCTCGTTCGATCTTCGATCGTTCGATGGGAGACCGACCGACCGACCGGGAGACCGGCGAGAGAGAGAAACTGCGATTAGATTAGCGGAAACGGAGAGTCCGACGACGACGTTTCAGCGAATTTTTTCCCCAGTCAAGACCCGGCTATCCCGGTCCCATGGGATCCCATTTGTCCAGATATCCCCCCCATCAACGACAGAGCTTGCATTCGATCGGTCTGCGCCGATCGATATATCTCCCGCACGATTTACGATCGTCATTCGGCGAAACTGAATATTCGGACTCCCCTGATCCCGGCGACGAACCCGCTGATTCTGATCCGAGTTTCGCGAAACTCCGAAGAGGCTTCGAATCGGCTGGACTCTGTCCCCAAGGCTCTAATTGAACGTCGCGCAGCGATGGAATCGTCGCCGCTTCGTGGACCGCGACGGGAAAGCAGGGCTTTCTCGAACTGTTGTACGAGATTCTTCGTTCGGGATGGGAACTGTCGGGAGCAGTCGAAACTAGATTGCGCGTAATCCGTTATTTATGATTTCAAGTCGAAGACGAATGAGCCGCTGGAAGCAGAAACGGTGTAAAAATTTAATTTCTGGGTAATGAAGGATGAATTGAAATGCTGTAAGATGATCAATTTCTGTGAGCCGAGCTTCGACTTGAAGTTAGGGAAAATAATCGAATAAAATGTTACATTGCATATATGATTTAACACTAAACCTACCAAGCGGTAACACTAACTGGCATGTACTGCTTCAAAAAAGTGAGAAGACCGAATTTATTTAGAATTTGTGAAGTTTTTATTATAAAACTTGCTCCAATAATATAACTTATTCAAGCGTTTTCCATGAAAGAGTCTCGGAACTTTACAGAATTGCAAACTAAGAAAGCGATCACTTTGACCGCGGTAGATTTAGCGTTAATAATAATTGAATCGATATAGTGAAACATTGATTTACACCATTTCTGCTTTAAACGGGTCGAATGAACGTGACGATTGCAAAGCGAACGTAAGTAGAGTTGAACGAAATTCAAGCTCCGTTTATGAATCGAGCCAGGAATTGTTCAAAATTGGATGTCGTCTGTTCAAAAATTTCGCTTCTCCTCGACAGTTTCTCTCTTGAACTGGCCTAATGAGAATTCTCATACAACAGTTCGAAATGTAACTGTTTAAAGCCGAGATTGATACCGGTATTGCACCGGTATTTCTCGGGATTGTAGCTTCATAACGTTTATAGAAACTGAAATACCGAAATGCCGACCTGACGTCGCACCGTTATATGAAAATACCGACATATTTTCACGAATGTTCGGAGGACTTGCGCCGGTAAAATAAAAGAAGACCGCGTACGATTGATTATTGTAACATTGTAACCAAAACCCGGGGCTGGTGCCGTTATTGTGCCGGTAAATATTTCGTTATTTTTACTGGTACGGGCGTCGCGTATCGATAAATATTTCGGTGTTTTCACCGCTACGGACGTCGCGTACCGGCATTAAAACCGATTTTCCAAATATCGATTACGTCGCTAACACCGGCCCAACACCAAAAAAAAAACCTGCAAATATTTTCTTTCTTAGTCTCTCCGTTTTAAATTCCCGCGCGAAACTCACAACCGCGGAATCCATCGTATCCGCGCGAACGATCTTGTCACCGCGCGACGTCGTTCGCAAGTAGCCTAAGCGTCTCTCTCCCGTTTCGGGACATTTCTGTGGGAACCCGAAGGTGACCCGCGGCGATCGACCTTCTGTTTACGATGCCCCGGCTCGTGTTCGAGCCGGGGTTCGAGCCTGCCGGCTCATTTGAACAGTATCCTGCGGAACGCGCGCCGGAAGTCCTTGTTGAAGACGGTGTAGATGAACGGGTTCAGGGCAGAGTTCATGTATCCGAGCCAGAACGCGATGACGAACGCCTGGCTGGGTATGTCGACGTCCGGGAACAGCGGCTTCACGATGTAGAGGACGAAGAACGGCAGCCAGCAGGCGATGAAGCTGCCCATGATGAAGCCGAGGATCAGCGTCGCGCGTTTCTCCTTCTTCCGGGCCAGTCTCCTCTTCTCTCTCTCTGGGTCCCGCGATTTCGAGGACTTCGACTCGACGCCGGCGTCGTCCTTCGCCGACGGACGGCCGGCGTCCCCGTGCTCCCGTCGCATTTTCCCCAGATTACGGCGGCCGAAGATCGGCTGGCAGAGCCGCAGCTTCAATGGCTTGACCACCGCGCACCTGGACACCACGCCGCTGTCCGATGAGGACGGGTCGAACTCCGAGACCATGTCGACGTCGATGCCGACGCTTGGCGCTCGGCATCGCGACGGCACGCTCGACTGCCCGTCACCGTTCACAGACAGCGTCGCCTTCAGCGAGCTCTTCTGCATGTGCACTGGCAGCGTCACCTGTTGACATAAGGCAACGGACAATCGTTTAGCAGAGCTCTTCGGATTTCGTCTTTGGTCGTTTATGTAAATTCTACCCCATCTTCCATTCGGTTTGTGAACAAAAACGGATATTCTGGGAAACGGAGATACGATTACTCGAGTTTCGCGGCTCTTTTTTATAGTCGCTGCGAGGCTCGAATGATCGTAGTTTCCGAATTGTGCATTTTTGTTTACAAGCTGAAAATTAGAGAGAATTTACTGTGATTCTACGGCGGAAGTTTATGCGAATGCATATTTCAGGCGAATAAACGAAGCGAACGAAACTTCAAATGGAATATGTTTCATTGTTGGAGGATATAAAAAGATATATTCTTTTATCTTGCATATCTGGTACGTTTCTTTTTGTTGCATATTTCGCACATTTTGCACATTGCATAGCCGTTGCATAATCTGCACAGAAGTTGCATGTTCTGCGCGTTACACGCGCATCCGCAACTTCTTTAGAAACCAGCTTTGGGAATTGTCAGAATTTAGTCAAACTCGTCGTTGTAGAGTAAAGTACAGTAATGTCTCTCTAATTTACGCTGAGATTGTCCACAAAAATAGGCAATTTAGGAAGAGGAGATACGATTATTCGATCCTTACGATTCATTGTTACAGTTACGAATTGCCAACAACTATAAAAACTGCAAAACTGCATCGAGCTGCAAGGCTCGAATAATCGTATCTCCTCTTCCCAAATTATCCACTTTTGTGCGCAATCTGAGCGCGAATTAGGGAGAAATTACTATACTTTATGTATTTTTCTCTCGCACGATTTATATGATTGGAACTGCATGCATTCATTAATGATCCCTTACGGGTTTCATGATAAATCCGTTTCTAACAATCAATGCTTAAAATTAAGATTACTATAATGTCTCTAATTGACGCTCAGATTGTCCACAAAAATGGACAATTTGGGAAAAGGAGATACGGTTATTCGGGCGCTGCACTTAGTTTTTATAATTGCTGTCAATCGGTAAGTATAAAAATGAGTCGCAAGGCTCGAATAATCGTATCTTCTATTCCCAAATTATCCATTTTTGTGCGCAATCTGAGCGTCAGTTTGGGAGACATTACTGTACTTTGATTTTGCTGCGATCTTCTCTATCAAACACTCGTAACGCAGCGTTTACGACAGAAAAAAATACTTTATTCGAATCGTAAATTATATTTTCGCGAATAAATACATTGCCGATAGGTGTTCGAAAAAAAACTCCCAGGATTAAGATTTACTTCGAATCGATGTTCCAAAGATTTAACCCTTTCACTACTACGGACCACTATAATGGCCATCCATAAGATGCATTATATTGCATAATGTCGGAATACCCTTTATTTATAAATACCCTTTGGAGACAAATTTTTTCGTCCGAAAACATTCAAGCAGCTTGGGTTCTCCGCCGACCGCGGAGTACCGACTTCCGCTGACGATCGGCGTCGCGTAGTGTGCAATGATGTCGCGGCGCTCCGTTCAGCGGAAGTACCGCGGCGGAGAACCCGCCTGTAGCGAAAGGGTTAACACGTTCCGTGCCGAGCTTTTTTTACTCGAATCTTCACACTTTGATATTTTACTAAAACTTGATGTATTACGTGCAATTATTAATTCTCGTACACATAACAACGTAACAAAAACTTATCAACGCCCATTCTTGCGGTGGAAATTGATTCTTCGGTTCTAAATTTCTTGTAAACAATTTGTTCAGTTCACTAAGTAAACATGCAAGCGTGTACCATCGATGGTACACGTGGCACGGAACGTGTTAAGAACGCGCAGAACCCGTCTTGAAGACGGCCCCGGTAAAAATTCATTTTCCATGGAAAATTCATTTTCCCCGCGGTGGAACAAATGAACGAGGGTCAAGGGACGAAAGATAATTCGTCGAAGTTTCACTCGGACGGGGTCCAGGAAAATTGACTTGAAAAATCCGTGAGTCCGATGAAACGTCCACAGTCCATCCGCAACGAAACGGCGTTCGCGAGCTTCATCGGAACGCAGTCGGCGATGGCTCACGTTTCGCGGGGCCATCGCGTAACACTGTTACGTGCTGGAAATAAAAGGAGCTTTGTCCAGCCGGCATCCGAAGACGGGGAGCTCGGGGATGTTTTAAAGGAAGCCCGTGGAGACGGTGGATGCATTTCGCCGGCGATCGCGATTCGCGGAGCCGGTGTTCGCTCGCCGGCGATCCGTATGATTTCATAAAGAATCACGTGCCCGGGAATGGGATCTCATAAATGTTCATTTACGAGGAGAAATTCCGGGCCGTTCCGCACGTCCGGATCGTGACCACTTCCGGCGATGTTCTTTAGAAAATAATACCGGCTTTCTCGCGGCTGAAAGCGGCGCGCGCGGGATGTGACTCTAATTTTATCCGGGCCGCGTCGAACGGTGGTTTATGAGAAACGATCAGTAGCGGTATCAGAGAAGTAGCAATTTCAGCGGGACAACGACGACTACGACGACGACGACGACGTATGATCGATTCGATCCTCGATAGGCGAGCCGCGAGAGAGCGGCGGAAACGGTGCGTCGTATCGTACGCACTCGAATCCGCCGCGGCGCGGCGCTTTTATTCGGTTCCATTTCGGCCGGGGAAATAGGAAAAGAGAAAACTGAAATCCGATAGCGAGTTTCTGGTTTCGTTGAGTTACCGGGTCCATTTCGATGCGACCCGCAGAGAGGGAACACTCTGGATCCACGTGGATCGCGGATCCATTCCGATTCCGAAAGGAATACCGGCATTGTTCGATGATTGCGAGCCGAATCCGGACGCACACCTCCGGGTTATCGATCACCCAACGCTCTCGGAATGCTTGGAATCCGAAGTTGCGGATCGGCCTGTGGATCTTCAAGGTTTCCGGGACACGTTGCCCGAACTTGCAGAGTTCGAAGTTGAACGTCGCTCGCTGGGATGCAACGTTGATACGTTGATCTTTTCATCGAACTGCCTACCAAAGAATTAGGATCCTCTTCTTTCGTAGGCGCCTCAATTAAAAGATCAACGTCGATTCGAATTTTCATTGTAATTAGACTGCGAACATTTATGCGAAATGGAAATTCTTCGAGTCACTTGAAAGACATCGGAATTAGATAAATATATACAGTAAATTCTCCCTAATTGACGCTCGGTTTGTAAAAAAAAAATGGACAATTTGAGAACAGGAGATACGATTATTCGATATATTCGTTTTTAATAGTTACCGATTGTCAACAATTATAAAAAATGAGCTGCAAGGCTGGAATAATCGTACCTCTTCCTCTCAAATTGTCCATTTTTGTTCGCAGGCTGAGCGTCAATTAGGAAGAATTTATTGTATTTCGTTGTGTAATAATTTCAATATCTCGCGGTTTCACATTTCATCTGTTCATTTTTGTTATAAAGGCGTTCAATCAGCAATCTAATTACAACATGCACTGCAAAATCCGAAGTGTTGTAGCTTTTTACGCATTTAATGCATTTTTAAAATTTTCTTTATAGGCTTCGATCAAAAAATTGCAACACGAAAGATTTCTATTCGTTTTTGTCGTTGCAAATAATAGTAAAATTTAAAGAAAAAAACATTTCAGTCGTAGTCTAGCATCTAAACAAAAATTCAAGTCGTTTAGTCCAATTTTAAAAAGACCATTTAGACCATTTCAAAGAGTGCCCACATACAGTGGATTAGAATCATAGTAGCATAAGTGTAATTTTCGTCATTGTGAGAAGCAAGATGTGTAACCGCATACTGACCCATGTATTGTTTACTCACATTTATTTTCAGGATTATTTAGAGTTCAGTTAATTCACAGTAACTTTGTAATTCATTTCACTTGTCCTTCGAACATTCTGTCATCTATAGATTGCGATTCGAGATACATACAGTCAACATTTTCGAGAATGTGATTTACGCCACTGTGATACCAGCCCACTCATGTTCGTCCCCGACCGTATGTCCGGCAATCAACCGCTACAGCGTCGATGGCGGAATCACTCCCAACAATTAACGCTTAAATGACCGTATATTATTTCCCGTAGGCTTACTTCAAGACCGTGAAATACAAATTGCGGTATACTTTAGACATCTTTTGGTAAAATTTTTACTCTATAATTGCCGTCGAAAGCTTCTATTGGGTTGGCAACTAAGTAATTGCCGATTTCAGTTATAGATGTCTCTCACTCCCATTTTTATGACATCCGTAAATGTTATATTATAAAATTATTATTGTTATTATTATTATGTTATTTTTTATTATCCGTGAATATTAGCAACTGGACAAATTGAATGCAGCGGTCAAGGAAAAGCGACCAGAATTGGTCAATCGTAAAGGTGTCATTTTCCACCAGGACAATGCTAGGCCGCACACGTCTTTGTCCACTCGGCAAAAATTGATGGATATTGGTTGGGAATTGATGTTACACCCACCATATAACCCTGATCTCGCGCCATCGGATTACCACTTATTTCGATCCCTGGACAACTCCCTGTGGTAAAACTTTTAACGACGACGACGCTGTAAAATCTCACTTAACTCAGTTTTTGGCCGAAAACGATCAGACTTTCTACGAGCGTGGAATTTTCAAGTTGTCAGAGAGATGGCAAAAGGTCATCGAACAAAATGGAAAATACATTACAGATTAAACTTCGTTCCAAGTAAAAAAACATGTTTTATTTCATTGAACAAATCGGCAATTACTTAGTTGC